CCAATTTTTAACCCAAATTCCCAAATTAAATGATAAAAATCAAGACATAATCATGGAATTTAACCCAAAACAAGTGAAGAACACTTACCCCAATCACTCCTCTGAAAATTCCCTCTAAATTCGCCTTCTCCCGAGCTTTCTAATGAGTTTTGAAAATATGGACCTAAACCCTCATTTTTGAACGTTAAACATTCTGCCCAGACATTTCCTTCTTCGCGAACTCAGTAGTGCCCTCGCATTCGCAAAGCACAAACTAACCCAGACTCAGATTCCCTTCTTCGCGAACGTGAGGTCCCACTCACGAACGCGAAGACCTCACAACTTGACTATACACGAACGCGATGTCCAGGTCGCGAACGTGTAGCCTTACTCTCCCGAACCTTCGCTAACGTAGGACCTACATCGCGAATGCGTAGAAAAACTCACCAGCCTCACTCAACATCCCTCACGAACACGAGACCCTCTCGCGAACGCGAAGAAGGATTTCTCTGCGACAAAATACCAGAAAATCTGCCAACTTCCAAAACCAAGAATTGGTCTGTTAACTACCCGAAACTCACCCGAGGCCCTCGGGACCTCAACCAAACATGCCAACATATCCCATAACATCATTCAAACTTGTTTCAACCTTCGAACCACTCAAAACAACATCAAAACATCAAATCACCATCTGATTCAATCCTAAGGATTTCCAAACTTTCGAATTCCAAAACCGATGCAAAAACCTATTAAACCTCATCTAAATTACCTAAAATTTTGCGCACACATCACAAATGACACAACAGACGTACTCCAACTTCCAGAATTCAAATCCGACCTACCGGAAAATGCCAAATTTCTAATTTCGCCAATTCAAGCCTAAATCCTCCACGGATCTCCAAAATATATTCTGATCACGCTCCTAAGTCCCAAATCACCTAAAGAAGCTATCCGAACCATTCAAATTCACATCCGAGACCTTTTTCACATAAGTAAATATTCGGTTGACTTTTCCAACTTAAGCTTACTCAAAAGAGACTAAGTGTCTTATACCTCTCCAAAACCACTCTAAACCCGAACCAACAAACTTGATACCACATAATACAACTAAACAACACATAAAGAAGNGAGAGAGAGAGAGAGAGAGAGAGAGAGAGAGAGATTGTCGACTATTACTTTTGGAGTTGGTAAAAATATATATTTTTGTGATGAACCGATAGGTCATCTTATGTTATTAAACCTAATTCTGTGTTTTGAAGCATCAAATACCTCATTTTAGCCTTCCTCAATTTGCGTGCACAATATGGAGGGTTTTTTTCGGAAAGCTTTTATGTTAAAAATTGATAAAATATGAAATTTTTGACTTGAAATCTATTTGAGTTACTTCTGTTAACATTTTGAGCAAACAGACCCGGATCCATATTTCGACGGTCCCGATGGGTCAGTATCATGATTTTGAACTTGGGCGTATACCCGGAATCAAATTTGGAGGTCCCTAGCTCGAGTTATCACATTTTGTTGAATTTTGAAAGTTTAAAAGCTTAATGACTTTGAAAGTCTGACCAAATATTTGACTTTATTGATATCATGTTCGTATTTTTGTTCCAAAACCCGGTATAGGTCCAATACTATATGTATGACTTGTTTGTCAAATTTTGTGAGTAACGAAATTGGTTTGACGTGATTCGGACGTACGGTTGCAAAATAGAATTTCATGAGGTTTCTTGAAAATTTACTTTGATTTGATGCTAAATTCATAGTTCTAGGTGTTATTTTGGCGATTTGATCAAGAGAGCAAGTCTGTATGATATTTTTTGACTTGTGTGCATGTTTGATTTGGAGCCCCGAGGGCTCGGGTGAGTTTCGTATAGGCTACTGAGTTAGTTTGGACTTAGAAACATAGTTGATGCATTTTAGTTCTGGTGTCTGTTGCTGATCTCGCATTTGCGGGATCTGGTTCGCATTTGCGAGCCTCGCATTTGAAAAGAAACCATCATATTTGTGAGCCTGGGCATGGCAGGGGGTACTCGCATTTGCAAGGTAAAAGTTCACATTCACGAACTCGTCAATTCCGCTTTTGGGAAGGCAGAGTCGCATTTGCGACTCAGCACCTTTTGGGATGATCTTCGCATTTGGGAAGAAAGGTCCACATTTGTGAGGGCATCAGAGTTCGCATTTGCTGCCACTTTATCACAAATGCGATTACTGGGATTTTGGAAGAAGTTCGCAATTGCGACCTCTTTCTCGCAATTGCGATGTTTGCAATTGCGACATCTGCAACTGTGTAAAACTTGAGTTAGACGGAATTTTTGTTCATTCTTCAAATTTTCAAACTAGATAATCCTCTAAGTAATTTTTCCAAGAACCCCTCTTCCCGAATCATTGGTAAGTGATTCTAATCTATTTTCTTTCAATCTTTCATTACATTTCCTAAGATTTCAACCTAAAATCTAGTGTTTACATGGTGGAAATTGGAGATTTGGATAGAATTAGGGATTTTTTGTAAAATTAGGATTTAGACCTCAAATTGAGGTCGAATTCCAAAATAAAATGCATAACCGGGATCGGGGGTAAATGGTTAATCGGGTTTTGGTCAGAATTTAGGATTTGGACCAAGCAAGCCTGGGAGTTGACTTTTGTTGACTTTTTTAATAATGACCTAAATTGAATCTTTTGCAATCATGGGTAATTTCTAAGGTTTATTTTGAATCGTTTGGTTGGTAATTTGCTAGATATTGTTGGTTCGGAGGCTTGTTTGAAAGGCAAAGTTGTGGTTGAGCTTTGAGTGGTCTTTGGAGCGTGGTAAGTATTGTGTCTAACCTTTACTTGAGAGAATTAGGAACCCGCGGGCTATGTGCTATGTGAATTCTATATGAGCAGCGTATATGAGAGATGGCAAGTGCTTATACGTCGTCAAATTACTTGTTTTCCTGATTTCCACTTTTCTTTAATTATCTCCTTCCCTGTCTTAAATTTTATATGCCCTAAATGCTTTCATGCTTATTTTCTACCTATTAATCAATGTTCTCTCATGATAATGATTTTAGATCTTTTCAAATTTTCATGATTCCCTGCTATTTGTTTAACTGACTTAATTGCACCTTCTAATTGTAAATTACTTGATTGGTCTCGCTGTGTAGTATTACTTATGTAGATTCCTTTATTGTACAAGGTTTCCTTTTTGGTTCAGTTTGATAGTTATTTATCGTAAAGGTTTTCGTGGTTTGAATTGTTAATTTGATTGTGCACATTGAGTATTTGATACTGATATGGTGGGATCGGGTTGCACACCGCAAATGGTGAAATAAGAATGGATTGATATGGTGTAATAAAGGTGAATTTGTACCGTACGGCAGGATAGGGTTGTACACCGCAACAGGTGAAATAAGGGTGGATTGACATGATGAAATAATGTGAATNACATTCATTGGGAACAACTCGTTTCCTTTTGGGAATTGGGTATTTGAAGAGTTGCCACCTAATGGATTAAGGTACGTTAGGGCACTAGAGTAATTGACTCATATAACTAGTTTGTGTTACCAGATATTAGGGTAAGGGCTCAAAATAAGTAGAACAAACAAATGCACGTCTCAGACAGCAGTGTTTTAGACATTTGAAAAGAGTCTTAATGACACAGTATCTAGGTGAACACAAGTCAGAACATATGCAATGCTGAGTTAAGGAATAGTGTTAAAGACCTAATCAGTTTGCCTACTAATTTTAGGACCTGTTAAATCTGGGCAGTCACAATAAGCAAAGCAGTTTTATAGTTTTAGAAAACCTTGATTACCTATAGGCTTGCCTAGGTGTGGAGTTGTAATGCCTTGTAACATGATGTCTAAAATGTAAATAGAATTCTGGAAATTGATTAAAGGAAAGCAAATAGTTTGGGTTTTAATATGTCCTAGAAACATGCTTGTCTAGGTGTTGGCCATCACGAAACTGATTTCATACATATTTACCCTATAACATGGTGTCTATGTGTTGGGGTTATTTTAAACATCTTAATAGACGAGATGGTTATTGATTTAGGCGATATAGACATGATTTAAAGAGAATGCAAATACAGTCCTAAAGCAGGATTTCTAATGCACATAGTGAGTGATCATTTTATTAGGCAGAATTATAACAAGATTTCTAGGTGATTATGCAGAAGCAGAATGAAGTGATGAGCCTGTAACAGGCTTTCTAGCATGCAAAAATAGTAAACATGACAATCCTAAGGCATGATTTCTAATGCAAGTAACATAAGATACCTATGACATGATTTCTAATACCAATAGGCATAGCAAACCTAAAGGCATGATTTCTACCTAGTTTCCCTCACAAAAATCATATAGGAATCCCTCCCTTTTTACTAAATTCCCCAATATTTGTTTATAAAGGAATTATTATTACAGCCCAATAGTAAATGAATTACAACAACAACAACAACAACAACAACAAACCTAGTTTGATCCCAACAGGTGGGGTCTGGGGAGGGTAGTTTGTACGCAAACCTTACCCCTACCTAATACAGGTAGAGAGGTTGTTTCCAATTAGACCCTCGGCTCACGAAGGGCAAAAAGAAGAAGAGGAAAGCAAGGAAGGAAGAAAGATGGAAGATAAAAGAAAAAGGGAGATATAAAGGATAAGTTGTACCAAATAATAGCAACAGGGAATACAATACCTGAGGCGAACAAAACCACATAACGTAATAAAAATCTAACAATATGAAGGGACATGCATGCTACTAAGACTATGGGTGAACAACTATAAACTACCTACTAACCTTCTACCTTAATCCTCGACCTCCACACCATCCTTTCAAAGGTCAAGTCCTCAGTAAGCTGAAGCAGCGCAATGTCTTGCCTAATCATCTCTCCCCAATACTTCTTAGTCCTACCTGAACCTCTTCTCAAACTCTCCATGGACAACCTTTCACACCTCCTAACAGGAGTATCAATGCTTCTTCTCTTAACATGTCCGAACCATCTCAGCCTCGACTCCCGCATCTTGTCCTTCACGAAGGCTACTCCCACTCTGTCCCAGATAGCTTCATTCTTAATCCTGTCTCTCCTGGTACACCCACACATCCATCCCAACATTCCCATCTTTGCTACTCTCATCTTATACACGTGGGAGTTCTTGATTGGCCAACACTCAACCCCATACAGCATAGCCGGTCGAACCACCACTCGATATAACTTACCCTTAAATCTTAACGGCACATTCCTATCACACAAAACACCGGAAGTGAGCCTCCACTTCATCCATCCCGCTCCAATGCGATGCGCGACATCTTCGTCAATATATTTGTTACCCTGGATAATCGACCCAAGATACTTAAAACTCGCTCTCTCGGGGATAACTTGAGCATCAAGCGTAACCTCTACGTCTGCATCATGGGTCCCGTCACTGAACTTGCACTCTAAGTATGTTGTCTTGGTTCTGCTCAGTTTGAAACCTTTAGACTCCAAGGTGTATCTCAAAATCTCCAACCTCGTGTTAACTCCGCTATGCGACTCGTCAATCAGCACTATATCATCGGCAAATAGCATGAACCAAGGCACCTCCCCTTGGATGTGACGCGACACTACATCCATCGCCAAGGCAAATAAAAATGGGCTAAGAGCCGATCCCTGGTGCAACCCCATCACCACAGGGAAATGCTCTGAGTCACCACCCACAGTCCTCACCCGAGTCTTAGCATCATCATACATATCCTTAATCACACTAATGTACGCTATCGGAACACCGCTAACCTCGAAACACCTCCACAAGTCCTCATTCGGAACTTTATTGTATGCTTTCTCAAGGTCAATAAACACCATATACAAATCCTTCGTCCTCTCCCTGTACTACTCCACTAATCTCCTTACCAAATGAATCGCTTCCATAGTCGAATGCCCCGGCATAAATCCAAACTGATTCTCGAAAATAGACACACACTTCCTCACCCTGGCCTCTACTACCCTCTGCCAAACCTTGATAAATAAATATAAACTATCTATAGGGAGCCCGAATTAGGCCCAATAGTAAACCTGGGGATGCCATGCCTTCAAAACATTATCAAATGCCAAGAGTCTTATAGCCAATGGTGTGTCAAAGTTACCTAAGGACCTCAGGGATCCCGAGCAATGCTCACACCAAGACCCTTTCTTAAAATAGATAATTGGTTATGAGTAGTGTGGAAGGGCCAACCATGGTGTGCCAGAGTTCAGAGGAAACTCAAGGATTTCTAAGCAGTACACACACCAGAGGGGCATAACTTAAATAATCTAAGAGTAGAAGTGAGAGTGCTTGACATAGTTTAGAAGAACTCAGTAAAATAGTGTTGAAGTAAAACTTTCAGGAGTGGAAAAAGGTTTTCAAGAATAGACACACTTTAGAAAAAATGCTAAGAGTGAAAACAATTTTGGAAGCAATTCTTAGAAAATACACAATCACATAAACAACTTAGAGTGCCCAGATTCAGAGCCATTTATTACTTGATTCTAAGTGAAGACAAACAGCTTTACAGACAATGATACGGGGGGTTGGGGACATAGAGAGCTCAAATCAGAAACACATAACATGGATAAGAGGAGAAGCATATAGACCAGCAAGTACAAAGAATAAGTAGGAACTAATTGACATCCAGAACACAAAAATACTACTTCAAAGTGTTAATAAGGGAATCATTCTTGAAATTTAGAATAGTAATAGGCAGTAACACATAGACACAGGGAATGGGAGTAGTCATGTTGAGGACAGGGGTCTATTACATAGAATTAGTCATTTCGCTTAGTATTAATCAAGTACATTAGGAGTCTATGATACCAACATGAGCATACTAGTTGAGGGAAATAAAAAGGAACTCAAGTAAACACGATGGCCATGTATCAAACAAGACAAGTGATACCCAGACATACTGATTAAACACTTGAACAAGAGAGGGCAAAACTTAAGCATGCTGAATAAAGCAGTAAATAAGAAGGGCAATTAAATACATAAGCCATTAAAGTAGTGCAGAAGGAGTCATGGATTAACAGACATGGAGCACAAGGAGTTGAGTTTCAGAACTGAACTAAAAACATACTAGTTAAGGAAGCAAAGTGCAGAAAGTAAAATAAGTAGAGTTCCATAATCTAGCCTTGGCTTTCAGCCGGCTAGACAAGCAGTTAGCACAAGTATCAGAGAGAGAAGAGAGACTTTGTGTGTGTGTGTGTGTGTTTTGAACTAATTGATCGTGTGTTGAGAGGTAAAACAAGAGTGTATAAATAGTAGTTTAAGAGAAGAACAAAATAGGGTAAAGAAATCAACATTCAGTCAATTAAGGGGAATCATAGGATCAAAAAATTCAATCACATAAAAAGAGTTCAGAATAGACCCCTTAATTAGGGGTAATTGATCAAACAGTAATAACATTGGTCTAATTAAAGAAAGAATCCCAATCATACCATGCAAAAAATCAGTAATAATCTCTGAACCATGTGGATAGTTTACTAAGACAAGGTAGGTAAATATTGTAAATAGATAAAGGAAGTAACCAAATGACCAATCAATGCTTGATTGGGGATAGGAAATTAGAGAATTATACCATATAACTCTAATTGAGTTTCAAATAAGGCAAGAAGTAGGTTTAACAGTTAATTAGGGTTAGAACCCTTAAATCTAGTAATCAGTTTCACAAATAAGGTAACATGGGTAATCAAATATTAATCAAAGGGTCAAACAACCTATAGATGGACAAGAAATGTCAATTAAGAATTAGGGATTAAGGAAAATAATCAAAGATCAGTAAATTAGTTTAGTAAACAAAGAAAACCCTAGATAATTAGGCTAATCAATCAATTATTCAAATAATAATAGAAAAGATGTTGAAATCAAACAATAAATAGTCAGAATAATCGAACCAGAAACAAAAGCATGCAAGAAGGGGTTGAACACTAACATAAGATTTTTCAGAAAAATCTTCTGCGAAGACAGGGTAGAAACTCAGGATTTTAAAAAGATACTCAGGGTTTATTAGTAGCAGGAAGATTATGGGATCTTTAAAGAAATAGCCATGAAAACAGAAAGCACCTCAAACATACAGAGATTCGAACAACAAAAATCAGAGAAATCAAAAACTTAAAGTATCATAGTTCTAAAAATCGGTTAATAGTAAAGGAATAAGAGAAACTTAAAGAAAAATTATGGGAACTTGAAAACATTTCAAGTATGCAGAGATTTGAACAACATATAACAAAGAACCCAAAATATAAAGTAATATAGTGGTAAAAACTCGATTAATCAGTAGGGAAACAGAAGAACATTAAAGAAAAACTGGTGATGAACTCGGAATCTCTCCAGATCTACAAAGATCTGGAAGGATCCGTGTTTAAAAATTGGGGTTTTGATGAAAGAACGAAAGCGTAAAGTAAAATAATGTAATAATGCATGCATAGGCTATAATTGCAAAGTAATTGCAATTGTAACCTAAAAATAAAAATATGGCTATTTGTGCAATAATTGAAACTTAGTACAAATGCAAAAATGATAAAATTAAACCAAAATTTGTTATAAAACTATTTGTAACGCAATCTGTGATTGTTTTATAAGTAAAATGCTAGGATGAATTAATTAAAATCTTTTAAAAATTCAGAAATTGTATGGAAAATACTAATTGATGCCAATGCATAGTTTTGAAAATATTATAGGAAAAAATTGGGTATCAACAGCTGCCCCTCTTTACCCGGGAAGGATGAAAGAGTTTTCGGGTAAAGAAATGTTGGCCAATTTGACCGAATGGGATGTTTTTTAGAAAAATAGAGGCCGAACTCTGGTCTTCGAGCTGCCTACATATCCCTAGTTTTACAGGAATCAGGCCACGTGTAGTTCTGGATCCACCGGCGGATGAAGACGATGGAGTTGTTATAGCAATGGTAGCCAATTTCAGCAAAGGTTCTTTTATGAAGGGGAATGTCAGATGGTGTTATGATTATGGGTCTGGAGTGTAACGAAGGTATTGTAGGGCAGATATCCGGATATCATGGAGTATGTGGATGATTGATGGGAATCGGTCATGAATGGCAAAGTAAAAATGTCATGAGTGGAAATTGGAGCGAAGGCTGCTCCTATTTGGAGAACGATTACCTCCTGGATTACCTGTAAAACTTAAGACACAATGCATGCGAATATATAGATGATGCAAATTCTCTTTGGACCCTGAAAGATTGTCTTTGGACGATGCATATGAAGTCCTTAGACTATGATGTCCTGGGCTATGAATTGCATAGTAAGAGATTCGTAGGCCATGAAATGATGTTCTCGCTTTGCCAATGGTGCCTCTGAACCATGACGCCTTTGAATAATGATATGCAAATTTTAGAGATCCTCAGGCCATGGCATGGTGTCTTCCGACTATGAGGATTATGCCTTTAGATAATGACGCCTTTGGACAAGTTGGCGATGTTTCAGCCCATAAGATGCAATAATACGATGCTGGAATAAACAAGACAAGACTTAGTTTTGTGAGGTTGAGGGCAGAGCTTAGCCCGAAAGAGGAGCAAATAGAAAGTGCCAGAATAGAGCAACATTTATGAAAGGAGGGACAATGCTTAGTCCCATGAGAAGGCAGGGCTTAGCCTTATATAGATGGAGACAAGGCTTAGTCTCATGTAAAGAGAAGGCAGTGCTTAGCCTTATGCAAAATGGAGGCAGGGCTTAGCCTCATGCAAGATAAAGGATAAGGCTTAGTCCTATACAAATGGAAGGCAGTGCTTAGCCTTATGCAAAACGGAGGCAGGGCTTAACAATATGCAAGATTTGGGACAGGGCTTAATCCCATGCAAATGGAAGGTAGAGCTTAGCCTTATATAGATAGGGAGGTAGGGCTTAGTCTTATGCAAGGAGAAGGCAGTGCTTAGCCTTATGATGGAGGCAAGGCTTAGCCTCATGCAAGATTCGGGAATGGGCTTAGTCCCATGCAAATGGAAGGTAGAGCTTAGCCTTATGCAGATAGAGGGGAAGGGATTAGCCTCATGCAGATGGAGACAGAGCTTAGTCTCATGCAAGATGTGGGATAAGGTTTAGTCCCATGCAAATGGAAGGCAGTGCTTAGCCTTATGCAAATATGGAGGAAGGGCTTAGCCTCATGCAAGGAGAAGGAAATACTTAGCCTTATGCAAAACAGAGGCAGGGCTTAGTCCCATGCAAATGGAAGACAGAGCTTAGCCTTATGCAAATAGGGAGGCAGGGCTTAGCCTCATGCAAGGAGAAGGCATTGCTTAGCCTTATGCAAAATGGAGGCAGGGCTTAGCCTCATGCAAGATCCGGGACAGGGCTTAGTCCCATGCAAATGGAAGGCAGAGCTTAGCCATATGCAGATAGGGAGGTAGGGCTTAGCCTTATGCAGATGGAGACAAAGCTTAGTCTCATGCAAGATGCAGGATAGGGCTTAGTCCAACGCAAATGGAAAGCAGTGCTTAGCCTTATGCAAATATGGAGGCAAAGCTTAGCCTCATGCAAGGAGAAGGAAGTGCTTAGCCTTATGCAAAATGGATGTAGGGCTTAGCCTCATGCAAGATTCAGGAGAGGGCTTAGTCCCATGCAAATGGAAGGCGGAGCTTAGCCTTATGCA